ATGGACACGAGATGAGGCGCAGCACTCATGGTCCTCCTGCCTGTCCTCAAGGACGTCCGTGCCTAGAGCACACTCACCCCCGACGGACGGAGGACAGACAGACTCAGACTCAGCAACAAGACTCGCGGCGTAGTCTAGACGACAGCGAGCAGCAAAGTCGACAAGCTCAGCAACTAGGGCAGACGCAGCAGCAGTCTCAAAGGAAGGGCTAGTGACAACAGTGGCCAGGAGACGCGTGACAGTAGGACTGGCAGCACGAAGAGAGTCAGACTCTGGGTCAGCAAGAACAGGAAGAGAGGACGCAGGAGGAGACGGTAGAGGGACACGCTGTGGAGCAGTGGAAGGACGCAGAGTCATATAGTGTGTGCCAGGGACAGGTGGAGGACGCTTACATGGAACACGGCGACCAGTGCGAGCAGCACGAACAGGTGACACTGGACGAGACACAGGCGACACAGGACGAGACTCAGGCTCACGACGCTCTGTAAGACCGCCTGTCGGACCAGTGTAGGGAGAGGGACCAGGAAGTGGCGAGGCAGGTGGTAGCTGCGACTGCGACTGGACAGGCGGAGGACAAGCTAAGGAGGGAGGAGGACTAGGAGGAGGCGACTGACCAAGAACCTGCTGAAGGAGCGGAACGAAGTACGGCCGCGGCCGTGAAGTGCCCCCAGAAGCAGCAGAGACAGCACCAGAACCTCCTGCCGAACCAGCACCAGCAGCACCTCCAGCAGCTCCAGAGCCTCCAGCAGCACCAGCAGCACCTCCAGCAGCTCCAGGACCTCCAGCAGCACCAGCAGCACCTCCAGCAGCTCCAGGACCTCCAGCAGCACCAGCAGCCACAGGAAATGGGGGGCAGCCGCATGGATCATGGAGGTACGAGCGACCTCCATGACGAGACCAATGCGGCGCTCAGCAACCCCATTCTGCTGCGGAGAGGCCGGGAGAGTGAACGTCTGGCGGATGCCGTGCTCCGCACAGTAGGCTGCCAAGAGGTCAGAGGAAAACTCGCCACCTCGGTCAGAATGCAGACGTAGGACAGGAAAGTCCGACTGGAACCGGTCGCGGAGCTGGAGACGAGCAGCGCGGATCCAGGGGATCAAGACATCAGGGACCTCACCCTTGGTACGCAAGGGGAAGACCGTGGTGTAACGCGTGTAGTCGTCGACGACCAGCAGAAAGTACCGCTCGTGGCCCTGTCCCCGGACGCGGGCGGGGCCCCACACGTCCAGGTGGAGAGTCTGCAGGGGAGCCTCTGTGGGAGGGAACGAGGAGGAGTGAGGAGCGGCGCGCTGCCGCCCCTCGACACAGGGAAGACAGGGAGGAGCAGGCGAGGGAGGGAGGGGAGGGAGAACCCTGGGAAGACCAGAGACAAGGAACCGGGAGTGCATGCCGCGAAGGCGCTGCACTGACGGGTGACCAAGGCGGTGGTGCCAGAGGACAGTGCGGTGCGACAGGGAGCGACACGAGCAGGGGGCCGACAGCTGACCTGACGCAGACGCAGACGCAGCTACCTGAGGGGACTCAGTGGTCAGTGTGTACAAGTCCGACCCCGGCTGCCGAGTGAAGGTAGCCAGGTGACGACCCGTCTGGGCACACGTGCAGTGCGTCACACGCTCGTAGGCAGGGGTGAACTGGTGAACACCCGCGTCCTGGAGCGCGGAGCCAGCCACCAAGTTCGTAGAGAACGAGGGGAGGTAAAGGCCCGACAGTGTGCCAGACGGGACAGCAGGACAAGGGAGGGCAGTGGTGGAGGTCGCAAGGACCGGACCCCCGGAGGGGTCAGCCAGGGAGACAGCAACCGGCCTAGGGAGCTGCTCGAGGGCAGTGCGGTCACGAAAGAAACAGCGGGAAGCACCTGAGTCTAGTGTGAAGGTGTGCAGTGCCGCAGGAGACGTAGGACCTGAAAGCGCAGACTCACAAGCACCTGAAGCAGCAGACTCACGAGCGCCTAGAGCAGCAGCCTCACCAGCACCTGGAGCAGCAGACTGGATACCGGGGTCAGGCGGCCCACACAGGTGACAGGCTCCCTCGGCACTAGTAGACAATGCATACATTACAGTGAGAATAGCATCATAGTCAAGAGCAAGGATATCTACCCTCTGCCTAAGTAGCTCCACCCAGTCGGGGAGCTCAGCGTCGTCGCCAAACTCTGTACGCCAAGCGTCGCTCAGACGGGCGAAGCAGTGAGACTCTGTGTGACCAGGCGTCCCGCAAGGCTGACCAGTCCGGGCACCCGTGCGAATAACGTACAGGCAGCGAGCAGGACGCACCGACCCTCTACTCTGAGCGTACCACTCACGAAGCTGCTGGGGCGAACGAGTCTCGCTCAGACGACGCTGCTGCGGCACCAAGCCACTACAAGAAACTCCCAGACTACGCACTCCAGGACGACCCCCACTACTGCCACCCCGACAACCCCAACGAGCGTACCACTCACGAAGCTGCTGGGGCGTGAGGGACACACGCGGACGGCCCTGGAGCTGCATCTGGCCACGCCAGGAGCAGCAATAGATGCAGTAACAGCAGGACAGGTAGGGACGTGCTCACCAGTGGTGGGAAGGGCAGGCGCACGACGGAGGCGACTGCGGGGCCGCTACAGCGGCAGGGCGGGGCCAGGGGCGGCTGCTGCAGGGGCGGCTGCTCCAGGGGCGGCTGCTCCAGGGGCCAGGGGCGGCTGCTCCAGGGGCCAGGGGCGGCTGCTGCAGTGGCGGCTGCTCCAGGGGCCAAGGGCGGCTGCTGCAGGGGCGGCTGCTCCAGGGGCCAGGGGCGGCTGCTGCAGGGGCGGCTGCTCCAGGGGCGGCTGCTGCAGTGGCGGCTGCTCCAGTGGCCAGGGGCGGCTGCTGCAGGGGCGGCTGCACGCTTCAGGGGTCAGGGGCGGCTGCTGTAGGGGCGGCTGCTCCAGGGGCGGCTGCTGCAGGGGCGGCTGCTCCAGGGGCGGCTGCTCCAGGGGCCCGGCGCGGGGTAGGGCAGGGCGATGCGGCGGGCAGGGGCGACGTGGCGAGCAGAGCGACGCGGCGGGCAGGGGCGACGCCGCGGGCAGGGGCGACGCGGCGAGCCGGGCGACGCGGCGGGCAGGGGCGACGCCACGTCAGCAGCTGGGCGCGGTCGCGTCAGCTGCAGGGCGCGGCCGCGTCAGCTGCAGGGCTGGCAGGGCCGCGTCACGGCAGGGCGGGGCCGCGACTGCGGCCTGACGAGGCCGCGACTGCGGCCTGACGGGGCCGCGACTGCGGCCTGACGGGGCCGCGACTGCGGCCTGACGGGGCCGCGACTGCGGCCTGACGGGGCCGCGACTGCGACCTGACGGGGTCGCGTGCTGGTCTGACGGGCCTGTAGAGGCTGTGTGCGGGTGGCGAGGGCCTGCAGGGGCGGCACGCGGTCGGGCAGAAGCTGCGCGCGGGCGGCGTGGTCCTGCAGGGGCAACGCTCCGACCTGACGGGCCTGCATGGGCGGCTCTCGGGCCTGACGGGCCTGCAGCGGCGGCTCGGGGGCCTGACGGACCTGCAGGGGCGGCTCGAGGGCCCTACTAGCTTGAAGGGGCGGCGCACTGGCCTAGGGCAGCAGGAGGCAGCGCTAGGGCTGTAGGACGGCGCGCAGGCAGAACGAAGGGCGGGGCGCACGAGGGCGCACTAGCAGAAAAAAAAGGGGGGGGGGGTGGCGCACGGGGGCGCACGAGCAGAGAAAGGCGCACGAGGGCGCACGTAAGGTAGGGCGCACGAGGGCGCTTCTAACGGAACGGTGGGCCCGTAGTAGTAAGCGGTCCTAGGTGGCAACCTAGGCTCGTGATACCATGTCAGAATGAACAAGAGTGATTGAACTAGGAAAGAGTTGGGTACAAGTAGGAAACCCTAAACTTACTGTACCCCATAGTAACTACCCCACTACAGCCTAAACAAACTGTAGCAGATATAACATTTGACAGGAATTTCTGCTCTGGTGTTATTCGAAAACTTACATTCAGGTATTGGTTCTCAATGTATGGTCGATGTTGCTGGTCATTATGCTTTTCGAGCCTTGTTTGAGCAGACCGCGCTAAGATTATTCCCGAGTTTGAGGGACCAACCGAGGACCAGGTCGTTTTGGTTCGGGAGGTACCTCGATTGGTTCTCCCTAAGTTGAGGAAGGTACCGCAACTTCTGATGAGCTTCGGATTGGCTAGGCCTTCCTTCCAACATTGTGGGATGCCAATGGTTGTCTTTCCTGTTCCCGCTTATGAGAATTTCGATCTTTCCTAGATGTCACGGATTGTCAATTCAGATATTGTTTTTCCGAGAATTTCAGTATGTGACTACGTCGAAATCATTACAAGGAGCGGGCATTACAATTGATATTCCGCAACAGCCGAGTCTCATAACAGAATCGTTCGCCACATGCTATTATCTGTTACAATTTGGTTTATTATTTTGATTTCATATATTGCCAATATTAATTTTCACTTAAAATGATTTGTAATGCAAATTGAAATTCGTTTTATTAAAAGCACAGCGATTACAACCGTAGCAGGAAACCATACAGTCATTCACCCTAGCACGAAGCCACCATAACTAATACGTGTAAGCATTAGCTACAAAGCCCTCAAGCCCCTCACCACTAATAAAAACAACATCGCTACGCGCGAACGACCATGCCCCAACACCAGGCCGCTACCAAGGACCATTTGCGGCAATTGCTCCTCCGATTGCAGCTCTTGTCCACTTCCAAATCTTGTTATAATAGATGTTCCATCACAAAAAACCTTGGTTTTTGAAGGGGGTTCGAAGGGGTGTACATTTCAGGTGTTTTGGTTGGCGAAGTTCCGAAGCCTTATCGCGACCAATCGCGGAATGAAATCGGAACGCGTTTGTTTGTCGAAGTCAAAATCGAATCCGCGACTCCGGTACATTGCCGTTTATTTGAAGCGTGCCAAATTTGTTGTGATTTTGTAATTGGTTTTTTAAGCTTTGACTTCCCTAAAATGTGTCTGCTTAAAAATATGCTGGCCATTTTATTACAAGATAAATGCATCACATTTGATACTTATTAAGGAGATAGGTACTGTCCAGATGGAATGCCTTCACCACATGGACGTGGCGGAGCAGCGCTTCAATCGGAATCACGGAGTACGCGTACATTCCTGTTGTCCACTTGAGGCGAAGGCATCCTGTTGCTGTATCCTCTCCGCTTGCATTCCAATATCTAACGTAAGCCAGCTCCTCCCTCTCTCCACGTATTTTTGTATGGAACAACAGAAGCAACCTTGCATACCACTCCTCTCTCCGACCATACCTTACACCCTCCACTGCAACATCCGAGTACCATGGCCTCTCAAAATAGTCAGGGGTCGCTCGAACGAAGTGAGAAACTCTTGAGAAGCTGGCGTCGTCTGCTGCAGGGATTGCCAGCGATGCATGGGCCTGCATAACAGTTGATGTTAGTCATGTATGATACGAGCCAGCCAAATGATGGTTGATTGCATACACTTGCAACTACTTACTCGAATCTTGGTGACGCATCCTGCATAATGCATAAGCGCATCCTTGAGGGCTGCTTGGGCACGAGGGTGTTGCTTGGCCCACTTCCTTGCAAACCAATTGATGGAGGTGGGTTCTTGTGGTAACTCCACAGAGAGGAGGTATGACTCCTTGATGAGCGTCCGTGTGTCGGTCCCAATCGCCTGCCAACATATGCTATTGATATTATTACATTCTGAGTTCATATCCATGCAATTCAAGCACTAAACAGATTTACCTGCCGCATGGCGGTGTCCCGGCCAGCAGGATCATCCACCGGCACCACATCCGGAATGCGCCTAGCATGGAACTTCATGATCTGCCCATCTACATTGCGCTTGTTGGACCGACGGTAGATCCTCTTTACCAACGGTCCGTGCAAGTGCTCGAACATGTTGGTGCTGAATTCAGTCACATGACCCGCGCGACGTATGGAGTCGACGTAGTGCGATATGAGATGTGTTTTCACAAGGCACCAAGAGGATGGCTGCTTTGGAAACGCAGCCTGCAACTGCTCAACGAGCCTGGTGGGAGTGGGAGATGACAACACATGCAATCACAGAGTCTACTTATTCATATCGTTTTCCTTTTCCTGATCCTTTCCTATCAAAGTTTAGCACCAAACATCCTCACAACATTGCCTACTACAAGAGCACATTTACAGTAGCCAAGCATTCATCCCATGCACGGGGGTTTACATGCATGGTATTATTACCGAGAGGTCATCTTCTTCAGCTCCCGGAGGGACCGCTCAGTGTGCCCCTGAGGCTGGGAGCACAGGATGTACCAGCCAAGATAGGCACGAACGGCATCCATCTGGGGCTGGCGAAGCAGGCCAGCAAAGACAAACACCATGACCTGCAAAGAATGTGGATAGCAGCAAAGGGGAGGGTGAGCACAGATGGTGTGAGGAGTTGGGACAAACAATGGCAGCACTCGCAGACTGCTTGAGGGTTTAGGCCAGGACAAGCAACAGGGGATGGAGGGTTCATACCTGCATGACGGCCCTGTGCTCATAGGCCGCGACACATGCTCCGGTCTCGAAATAGGCGCTCTCCGGCAGGCGCATGTGATTCAGGCGCGTGCGGTCGCGAATGAGGGACAGGCGCCTGCCCATACACATCAGTTCAGCGGTGGCAAAAGGGCAGAAAACATGTCAGTAATAGGACAGAACTTATGGTTTGAGTTCCAGTGACTAAGAGCAACGAATCCAATCCCCAAAACACTGACCTGTCCATCTGCTTCACACGCCGCTTCTTCATCTTGCGCACGACAGCCACAATGTGGCTCATGATGCCCAGGTCCGCCTGGTGCATGATGTCAGGCATGACCACGAGGTAGGGATTGCCCCACGCGGTCCCTGGGACATCCCACTTCCAGAGCACGCACTGGAAATGGGGATGTGGTGAGGAATGGAGGAGAGATGTACGTGAGAGTGGATAGCTAACCTCATCCACAAGTGGGGTGAGTTCAATTGGGCAGAGCACATTTGGCAATTCATGACGCGGCGGGCGAGAGCATAGACTACTCATGGGCCGGGGAAACAGGTCGCTCACCTCAACAGGGTAGGTAGAGTAGGCCTTGCACGGGTTGTCCTGGCTAGTTGTCGTCCCAGCCGCCTCGTTAACGATCCATTGCTGCTGTTCAGGCGTGCGCGGCGTGTTCCGTGCCTTGACCGCACTCAGATGCTCCTGTTGTAGCACGGGGGTTTAGGATGGGATAGAAAAGGTAAAGGTGGTAGCTATGTGGGTTCTATCAGGCGACCCACAAACGAGAATGTATTTGAATGTGTGCAGATGGCATGTGACCTCATCTTTGCAGCATAGCAGATGCTGCACGGCATCCGCGATCCATGCGAGAGTGTGCAACTGATCTTGCCGCTCTCGGGGTAGTCGCACACCCAGGCGTACAGCAGGGGGCGCACGGTTTGCCAATCACCGAAAGGGTCCCTGAGACGGAACCCGCTGCAAGGAACAGGTAGAGTGGCAACAGGAATTCGGGTTACGGCTTTCAGGGAGGAACGACGAGGGGCAAAGGGCCATGCTACATACAGAGAGGGTTTGCATACCATGCAGGTGGTGAGATGATGTGTTAGGAAGATGCAAACCGAGTACGGACCTGGCGATGCCATCAAGAAGCGTCTGCAGCACGGTCATGACGCAACGCTGGAAGAGCATCACCTTCTCCACGGCAGACATTGCAGACGGGGGGATAGGAAGGAGGGCAAGTAGTGTGTGCCCGGCTTTCCCCCATCGCTTGGCCTGGGAGATGTTGGCCAGCGTCATCATGAGCGGCCACGCCTTCTTCCGGCCGTTGTTGCTCATGTGCGTCACATCGGAATATAAGATGATCCCCCCCACAACTTCGGACCAACCGAAGTGTTCCTGCAGTGCACGACAAAGCGGCAACGGACACACAGTTTAACACTCAAGATGCTCTTGACAGATCAGTGCAGCGACCGAGGCATGAGGAAGGATTGGGTTTGGGGTGGCAACGTGGTCTTTCCTTACCTGAGCATCATTCCACCACGTTCCTGTTTCAGGCGTGGTATAGCAACGGCCGCCTGCGTCAGGGTCCTCATCAACACGCGCCTTGAGCTTGAAGCCGGGCGCGTTGTTGGGATGTCCAAACATTTCAGCGAATGCCTGGTGTACGGTGGCGAAGGCAGGTGAGAGGAGAGGCATGGTTAGTGGCGGTGAAGGTGGGTGTACGGTTAATACAAGGATAACTACGTACATGCAAACCCAGTGTGCCTCATCATCATTTCACGGCCTTGAATTCAAAGGCGGCTTACCTGGGCTGAGTTTTGAAAGAACAAGCGCTGTGGTGGATGACCGTCAATCTCGAAGGTCGCCACCGACCATTCGCGATTGAGCCCTGCCAAGCGCTCCATCTCGAACCGCTCCAGATCCTTGCAGTTCCGGAGCTCCGAGATCACAAGAGGCGCAAGGCCGGGCTCTACGACTAGCTGAAGCAGGCCGTTGATGTCAACCTCGGCCATTCCCATTCCGCCATTCACGCGCCGAACGAAATGCAGCAGCTTCAACGCGAGCGGATTGAGGGGCGTGGCATTGCTCTGTCCGGAGATGATTGATGGCGGCGCGGCATGACTCCCTTCGGGCCGGCTCTCAGGATGGTCACTCGTGTCAGCCGCGGGAGCTCCTGGTTGTGGTTGATGTTCATCTTCAGGAGGCCCCTCGTTCACGTCGTTGGGAGTTTCGTCAACGTCAGCTTCAGGCACGCGTGGAGGACCGCTCTCACTGACGGCGTTGGATGCGTTAGACGCTGTAGGTGAACTGGGAGCGGCTGGAGCGTCCGACAGAATGTCGTGGACGAATAGCAGAGCGTGTAGACCGGCGGTCGGTGCAGATCGCGTGGGCCTTGCCACGGCAGATAGTCCTTGGCAAGGGGTCCGCCGTGACTTATGACCGCCATAAACTTGGGCGTTGGGGAACCATCTGTTGCAGAACTCGCAGACGACGCCTGGTAAAGAGCCCATGTGTTACGGATCCGTTGTAGAGTCGAGAAATCGCTTAAGAAGCTACTAGCCGTGATGAAGCTTGTGAACGCATTAAGTACTCCGTTCAAGAAGCCAGTGACAGCTATACGATCATCGCCAATGCGCGCACTGTGGTGGGCGGCTTGTATCACTGCACGACTGGCACTTGACGTTGGCGCTAATGTTTATGACTGGCTAACGATGTCGAGCCGCATGCTCGTTACCAGGCACGATACAGACCGCCCACCTCACGGGCCGTCTTCCCTACAAGGCGTGTCGCCCCCGTCTAGAGTGACCACGACGTGAGCAGAGGAGAATGCACTGGATCTTAAGTCTCGCGGTCGTGTAAATGCGTCGCGAGCACGGTGAGAAGGACGTGCCTATTGAGTCAAGAACTTGTGTTTATGACCCGTGCGTGAGAGTCGAGGGGGATTTTGGAAGAGCGGGAAGAGATCCGTTTGGATCTGTGATTGTGTCGCGAATTCGATATAGGGGGGAAATCGGCGTCACGTAGGTGAGCTCAAGAGGCTTCAAACAAACATGGAAATGCAAATGTACAATCACAACTTAAAGACACACAAGTCATTCATAACTAGTAAACATTCATATCCTCCGGACTGATGTTGAACAACCCTTACTTGATAACGATACGGGAAGTACCCAATAACTCCATGCCCTAACGTATGATTGTTGCGTGGAGCGAATACCTATAGCGTGACTCTCGAGGTGTAGTGTATCTCTACGCACCGTGCTGTATGAATATGCAAGAATGGATGACAATGTCGTCCAATAGCACAACGGTTTCAATGTCCACGCAATGTTGGATGCCAATGCAACACCATACCACAACGGATTCACCATGTCGCGCAACCCGCAGGCCTGAACGCTGCATCGTCGCACAGTCTAACCATGGCTGTCGATAACGCATCTACGCTTGTGCGTTGGGCCTGTGCTTCATACCACTCCTTCCAAGCACCCTGTTCAATGTCTGTGCAAGAATGGATGCCAATGCAACACCATACCACAACGGATTCACCATGTCGCGCAACCCGCAGGCCTGAACGCTGCATCGTCGCACAGTCTAACCATGGCTGTCGATAACGCATCTACGCTTGTGCGTTGGGCCTGTGCTTCATACCACTCCTTCCAAGCACCCTGTTCAATGTCTGTGCAAGAATGGATGCCAATGCAACACCATACCACAACGGATTCACCATGTCGCGCAACCCGCAGGCCTGAACGCTGCATCGTCGCACAGTCTAACCATGGCTGTCGATAACGCATCTACGCTTGTGCGTTGGGCCTGTGCTTCATACCACTCCTTCCAAGCACCCTGTTCAATGTCTGTGCAAGAATGGATGCCAATGCAACACCATACCACAACGGATTCACCATGTCGCGCAACCCGCAGGCCTGAACGCTGCATCGTCGCACAGTCTAACCATGGCTGTCGATAACGCATCTACGCTTGTGCGTTGGGCCTGTGCTTCATACCACTCCTTCCAAGCACCCTGTTCAATGTCTGTGCAAGAATGGATGCCAATGCAACACCATACCACAACGGATTCACCATGTCGCGCAACCCGCAGGCCTGAACGCTGCATCGTCGCACAGTCTAACCATGGCTGTCGATAACGCATCTACGCTTGTGCGTTGGGCCTGTGCTTCATACCACTCCTTCCAAGCACCCTGTTCAATGTCTGTGCAAGAATGGATGCCAATGCAACACCATACCACAACGTAGTCACGTTTGTTACTATTAATAATCGTGTTAGAATGTCGTCCGCTGGCCCTAAAGCATTGTGGCAAAGCCTAAAAGTGCACAGTACATCTGTCCCGAGTAATAATTCTGGACGGTCGTTGTGTGTGTGACGTAAGAATCACCGATTAACTTACCCCAACCCCGTAGTAAACCATTTGCAACTTAGAGTTTGTTGAAATGCATTGTTGTATGTTTGAATAAAATTTAGCTTCTACGTGTAACACTGTGCGGTCTCGAAAACACTGTACTTTCGCACTGTAGGTTTCACACCGGTTTTACCCTTAGTAGTGATTGATGCGTTGGCAACCGTGATTGGCCGACACATCTCAAACACAGTCATCAGCCAAGAGGTACTTCAGCCATTGAGCGGCTGAGATCGAGCGGAATGTGGGTTTATGCTAGGGTGGCTACACGTACACTGTCCAATATAGCCTGATAGGGTTACATGACTCTCTCTAGTCTCGCAACCCACCCCAACCACCCTCGTGCCCCACCCACCTGCTTCCGTCACTCCCTGGGCCAACACTTTGACGCTGCTCGTTGCCTTGACACACGCCTCTCCAGATCGGCCTTAGCGCGAAGCATAGTGGCTACTATGACAGTTTTAGTTGAAGCGGCGGTTTTCGGAAACACATAACAGTGATAGACCGTCGATAATCCCATCGTGGGATTCAGTTGCAGAACCCTTTCGAAACCGGCTCAACCCTTCCGCGCGATTTGCAACTTTGCTCCTCCCACAATTACCATGACACGTGCAACACGTCTACAAGCAATGGAGGAGGAACAGGCCGGACGCCGTGCGACAAGGACGATGTCGAAGCGGAACGATAGGGAGGGTGGCGCCGGCACCAAAAAAACTAATGCATCCGTCGCGCGTGGCAAGGGGATGAAAAAAGTGGTGGCAAAGAAGGTTGCCCGCGGTCAAAAGAAGTCCGGCATGAAGGCGGGAGACAACGGGAAGCAACCAACGGCACGCAACCGTGTTTCTACAGTGAACAAAGAGGCGGATCATGCCTCTGCTGGAACCGAGCCCGGTCCGACTAACGAGGGCACCAGTGGTGGCAACGAAGATCCGGGGCGAGGGAGCGCAAGTCTTGCAGTCCCGTCGGCGGAGATGGAGGGATCGGCGACGGAGGGCAATCACGGAGGTGATCCCCGCGCCGAGCATGCCGCAACCAAGGAGTCCGAGGCGGCGGCAACGCAACACCATCTGACGTTGCTCCAGCCGACCGTGGTCGAAGTTTCTGCAGCCGTGCTGGATAAGGACAAGGTGGGGGAGCTCGATTCGATGGGGCTGGTCAGTGGCTCTCCACCTTCTGGTGGACGGGGGAGGCGTAGGCAGAGGAAGAGCGATGGGGAGGACGATTATGACACCGCCGTGCACGGGGACCTCATTACGCGGGCGAAAAGGCGGCAGACGACAGGTAGTGCTGACGACGCCGGAGGCGCGGCAGTTGGGACACCACGAGGCGCCAAGGAAGCTAGTGGCAAGGCGGGCAGTCAAGCATTGCGCCAGAAGGGCCGACCCGCAGCAAGAAAAGCATCCGGCGGAAGGAGAGGCAAGAAAGCAGCGACGGGAACAAAGCCGAAACGGGGCGATGAAGACCCCGGTGATGCGGAGGAGGAGGAGGATGAGGAGGAGGATGCGGAGGGAGAGGAGGATGCAGAGGAAGTGGAGGAGGATGACGCGGATGTTGGGGAGGATGAAAAAGATGAGAATGATGGCGGGGAGGACGAAGAGGAGGAGGAGGAGGAGGATGAGGAGGAGGAGGAGGAGGATGAGGAGGAGGAGGAGGAGGAGGAGGAGGAGGCAGAGGAGGAGGAGGAGGAGGATGAGGAGGAGGAGGAGGAGGAGGAGGAGCAGGGTGACGACGAGGAGGAGGATGTGGAGGAGGAGGAGGAGGAGGCAGCAGAGGAGGAGGAGGAGGAGGAGGAGGAGGAGGAGGAGGAGGAGGAGGAGGAGGAGGAGGAGGAGTAGGATGTGGCGCCAGTGAAGGGACGGGGCGGGCGTGGCAGACGGGTGAGTGGTACAGGGAAGGAGGGGGGCCGGACTCGCCCTTCCCGAAAGCGCGGGGCAGTTGACGCTGCGCGCGGCGAAGCAGCAGGCAAACCGAAGGCGCGTAAGGTGAAGGTCAAAAGTGAAGGGGTTGGTAAAAAGCAAGGGAGCCAGGGAGCAAAAGGGGATGGAGGAGGAAAGGGTGGCCGCGCCAAAGGGGTTCCAAAGGGTACCAGCAAGAAAGAACCTGCCGGTAAACGTCGCAGCGTCCGCCAAAGCACCCCGCGGAAAGGTGGCAACAAGAAAGCGCAGGCTGCCCCAAAACCGAAGGGACAGCAGAAAGGTGAGCATTGTGTCCAATAAAACTGGCGTGACGTGTTGAACCATCTGCTAAACCGTGCCAAAAAACACCCTTTTTTCACATTGTTTCTCCCATGCAGGGAAGGAGAAGGTCGACGAATCTGCCAAGCAAGGTAAACCCTCTTGTCCCAAACCAGTACAACCCTGAACTTGATCTAGATTCAAACCTTTCAGAATATGCATGCATGTCTGGACCCGCCTTGAAACCGATCTACTCTATTTTTTTTTTCCGGCTCCCTCTACATCTCAGCCCCTCGCGTTACAGGCATTGGGCCGCCCGTAAGCGTGCAACGAATGCATCTAACGAAGGCTGCCGGAAGAGCGAGTGTTACACCGCTCTCCTCCGGAGCACCAAGGTACTACACGCCATGGGCTGGCCCGAGCAAAGTCGCTGCGACGGCACCAGACGCGCCAAGAGGACAAGAATCCGAATCCCCTCCACCCGCCCCCATCACGCAGTCCCCACTCGCCTCACCCTCATACCAATTTCGGCAACTCCACGCTTCTCCTGTCCGGGGCAACGCGGTCTCCCCTCTCGCCGATCCTTCGCGCGGGCATCAGGCAGGCAGTCATGCCAATCCCTTCCCTGAGCTCCCCTTTTCTCGCCAGCGTGATAGTGTGAGGGCACACGGGACTGCTGCAGAAGACGTTGACCCCCTTGGCCAGAGGGGGGTTTCTTCACACCCTTTTCCTCCGCACATGGGTGCCCTAGGTGAAAGTGCGGAGCACGAGCAGTTTGTTACACGGGAGGAGTTCCAGGCGCTGCGGTCTGAGATGTACGCCATGTTTGCACAGCTCGGCCTGCGTCGTGGAGTACCTGCCAGCTATGCCACCGGGTCGGCAGCCCTGCCTATGGCTGGTACCCCGCCGCCGATGAGTGCCGTGGACAAGGCACGAGTGCTAGTGTTGCAGGAGACAAACCCATTCCCGGTATGTGGCGGGCCACATGGGGCGGGTTGGGGTTGACGTGGCAGCAAGGGCGGGGTTGGGGCTGACGTGGCGGTTTCGAAGGGAACACGGGAGCGGCGCGTGACGAGGCGACGCGTATCAGGTGAGTGGGGGGTGACGTGGCATGGGGTGGGTGGGTGTGACGTGGCAAGTGGCGCGGCATGTTGGTGGACGTGGCGGATGCAGGTTGGGTGTGACGTGGCAAAAGGTGAGGGCTGGGATATGACGTGGCGGTGTGAAAGGGTGCAAGGGAGTGCCGCATGACGGCGCGAGGCGTTTCAAGTGGGTGGGGGGTGACGTGGCTCTTGGTGGGGGGTGTGACGTGGCAAGTAGGGCGGGTTGTTGGCGGATGCAAAAGGGTGTGACGTGGCAGAATGTGAGGGTTGGGGCTGACGTGGCGGATGCAGGTTGGTGTAACGTGGCGGAAGGTGAGGGTTGGGGATGACGTGGCACCCTAAAAGGGTACACGTGAGCGGCGCATGACGAAGCGAGGCGTCTCAGGTGGGTGGGGGGTGACGTCGCTGTTGCTGGCTAGTTGACATGGCAAGTAGGGCGGGTTGTTGGCGGATGCAAAAGGGTGTGACGTGGGGGCATGTGAGGGTTGGGGATGACGTGGAGGTTTGGAATGGTACACAGGAGCGGCCACTGACGAGGCGACGCGTGTCAAGTGGGTGGGGGGTGACGTGGCATGGGGTGGGTGGGTGTGACGTGGCACGTGGGGCTGGTTGTTGGTGGACTTGGCGGATGCAGGAGGGTGTGACGTGGCACGTGGGGCTGGTTGGTGGACGTGGCGGACAAGGAGGGTGTGACGTGGCGGAAGGTGAGGGTTGGGTCTGACGTGGCAGTTAGAAATGGTACACGTGACCACTGCGCATGACGAAGCGAGGCGTGTCAGGTGGGTGGGGGGTGACGTGGCTTGTGGTAGGGGGGTGTGACGTGGCAAGTGGGCCGGGTTGTTGGTGGACGTGTCGGATGGCGCAGGGTGTGACGTGGCAAGTTCACACAGTGTTGCTAGTCACCATCCCATGGTCACGCGGCCACCCTCATAACTGCTGGTTTCTCTCTCCCATGTCGTCTTGTACACCTTACACCCCTGCGCAGAACAAAGCCTACTTAGTGTGCTCTCAGCTCCTGTTTCTGAACCCCCCGGAGAAAATACAGTACTACCCTGCACCGGAGGAAGTGTTCGAAGCGTTCTTTGTCCACTTGTCTGCAGAAGGGCTCGAGGCAATGAAGCTGCTGTGGTTGCACAATGACAAGTCAACCATGGGAGTCTTCAACCACCAGCTGTCCTCAACAAGGTCAACTATCAACTCCACCCTCAGGCCAGCAGCATACACCGGCATGGGCCTTGCCGATTACAGCCATCTCGTGGATAGCCTGCCCACTGAGCTACACCCAACGACCTGGTTCGACGACGATCAACTCCTAGCCGAGTACAGAGATGGTATGTGCAGTGCAGCTCGAAAACACAATATGCCCTACCATATGCCAGTTGGCAGCTACATATGACCGTGCGATGTGGCTCACCCTGACTCTCATCCCCCCATTTGATCTCTCTACAAAACCCTTTCCAACCCATACCCTCCCTGCCAAAAAGCAGGACAGTGGGCCCTCAACTGGCACTTTGACAAGGCCACCGGGACACCCTTCAGCAACCCCTTGTTCGCTTATGCGTTCAAGCTCTCCTTCAAGAGGGGCGGGGCGGTGTTCACCAAGTTTAAGAGCCGCATGGTGGCATGGGGCCTGTTTTCGGTAAGGATGTAGATATGTGTTTGTACCCCCATGCCTCATCCCCTTAACCCCTTGCCTGTACTTCAGCTAAAACCCTGGTCGATTAGGCCTTTGCAGTTACGTAGATAGTGACGACTGCATCACCGCTTTCAGTTGCCTCATTTACCCGTAACCTACCCTCCTCATAAACCATCCACCCAACCCTACACCACATTGCAGATTGAATGGCCCCTTCTGCAGGATAAGCGTCGCAAGCGAATCAGTAGCCAGCCGGAGCAGAACAGGCCAGACTACCAGAAGTGGTGCGAAAAGGTCAAACAGATGATCCATTTTGCTGTCGTGGAGCGGAGGATCCCCCACGATCCGGCTGTGGGTGCGTTCGTCTTTCCAAACAAGTTCTTCATCGACGACGGCGACCTTGGAGATGTTGTCCTTGCCCACCGGGCGCTTTCAAGGCCCGCCAGTGCGTAGGCTATTTGACCTGGTGCTAAGACTGCTTGTTGCTAGAATGCTGAATAATGGTTCTTGTAAACCGCAATAATAAATGCAATTTTGAAATCATCAATTTCCAAAATGAACAAATTCAGAATTTAGTTTTGAATAATCTGGTCACGAATTTGCAACAAAACGGATTGCGCCCGAATGTCATCCGGAAAAGCTCGCGTGCCAAATTGGAACTTGAACCGCACCAAACCTTGTCGCGAGATGTGTCTCGGAGCTCCTATCAAATGACTCCAACCGTCGGTCGAAATTGGGTCCGGATTTTTTTACGCGAAGACAATCGCAATCAAAATTCGTCCAAACTTGGCATAGGGTTTTTGTGATGTCACATCGCAGGTGTTATCGTTAGTGCTTCTGGACAAATCACTGCCGTGAATGATGCGGTGCTCCACCTGAGTTTGCAGCAAATACAATCATTAGTGTATACTTTAGAATCCTGTATAAATCATTTAACAAATGTAGCAAACTGCACTCACCCCATTCAGCCAGAATGATAATAACTTCAGCGGGAGAATAAGCTTGCGACCTTCGGGTCGGGTAAACGAGGCGCTGATTGCATTTATGAAGCGAGTTGATGCAAACGGCACACGGTGGTCGTTCATGTGCCAAGTAAGCATGTCGTATGATGCAGGCCCTGTCGTGTCGTGGGGGAAAAGTACGATACGTTGTGAAACATCTGGAATTTGAATCATTAGCCAGGCAATGGGTTGTGGAGGGGAAACCAGTGAGGGCCTGATGGTACACAGGACTGATGGGCTGTGAAATAACGAGCATCGCTTGCTGCTGGGGTGGGGAGTGGATAAAAGGGTGGGAAAGAGGGGTAAAGGGACTGTTGGGCTGTGAAATAACGAGCATCGATTGCTGCTGGGGTGGGGAGGGGATATCAAGAAGGGGAAGAGGGGTAATGGGACTGTTGGGCGGTGAAATAACGAGCATCGCTTGCTGCTGGGGTGGGGAGGGGATATCAGGAAAGGAAAGAGGGGTAAAGGGATTGTTGAGCTGTGAAATAACGAGCATCGATTGCTGCAGGGGTGGGGAGTGGATAAAAGGGTGGGAAAGAGGGGTAAAGGGAATGTTGGGCTGTGAAATAGCGAGCATCGAATGCTGCTGGGGTGGGGAATGGATAAAAGGGTGGGAAAGAGGGGTAAAGGGAATGTTGGGCTGTGAAATAGCGAGCATCGAATGCTGCTGGGGTGGGGAGTGGATAAAAGGGTGGGAAAGAGGGGTAAAGGGACTGTTGGGCTGTGAAATAGCGAGCAACACTTGCTGCTGGGGTGGGGAGGGGATAGAATAGATTGTGGAAGGGTCGACAGAGTTTGTTTTGGAATTAGAGGAAGGAACGGGGGTGGGGTGGAGGGGGTTGGTGGAGTGTTAAGTCATACTCACTTGGAGCGTACTGGCTCAAGAACAGGACGGTCGTGAGGGCGCCTTCTTTCTTCCCACCGAGGCTCGGTCTCGGCACGTACAAGTCGAAGTCGTTGTACACCCACTTCCGCCCGTCCGTCAATGCGTCGTTGCGAAACTCTTGACTGTACTTGTCAGCTTTCAGTACAATACGCACGATGAAATGCTCCTCCGGCTCAGTGAGGCCTAGGGCCTTGCGCAAGGCTGCCTCTAGGCATTCGGTACTAGGCCATATTGAAAAATCAGTGACTGGGGTGTCAAAAACATGATATCAAGAGCCTCATCCACATGGTCCTGCAGGAGAGCAACAAAAACAGTGCACAAACAAGCAGGGAGAGAGAACAGGGGAGGGAAGGGAGGGCGTGAGTGCATGTGGCATGAGGAATCTGCGGGGTGGGGGATGTAAGCACCCAAAGCTACAATACTCCTGCTGCCATATTCGAGTTTCTATGCTAATGACATTCGGAAGCACGACGAAGGTTCAAATGAATGATTGCTGCTCACCCCAAGGTCCTCGTTCACATCCGGGAAAGCATCTAACGTCGTGATGACGTTATTATACCACTGGCATTGCCGTGGCGTCATTGCAGAGCAGTCGATGGCCTGCCGTTTGACGTGGGCCTTTGCCACAGCACGGCTAAAAGCGGCCTGCGTATGTGGCCACACCACCGGTGAGAGAATCAAGGGGGATGTTGCCTTCGGCTGGTCGCAAGGTCGAGTGGTTGAAGGAGCAAGCTGGGGTGCAACCGGCTGTTGGGGAGGGCTGGGCATATTAGCCTGGCGCTGAACCATGGCGTGACTGCTAGCATGAGGGCCTTTTTGCTGAGGTTGCTGATTCTCCAGCTCAGCTATGCGTTGCGCTTGTTGTTGGATTTGAGCTTGCGCGGCCTCAAAAGCGGCTCGCGAAACCCTGGTTGCAGCAGCAGGCCGCTGCTCAACTTGATTTTCCAAAGAGTCATCCTCGTCAGAGTCCTCATCCGACACAGCCTTGACAGGTGCTGGTGCAGGGTCTGGGAGAGCGGACTTTTGTTTGCGCACACGAAGTGTCCATGGGAGTCCGGACGATTGCAATTGTGTAGGAGGGGGCGCCATTGCAGTAGCAGGGGATGCAGAGGCTGGTGGGATGAGAATGGTGCCAGGCTGAGGAGAGTTGGTTGGCTGCAACTCAGGATTGATATAGGGGGCCGAGGGTGAGAGAGCACTGAGGGCAGGTGGCAGCGAGGTGGATCCAGGTGGGACGGCAGGCCTGGACTGTGCAGGAACAGGGAAGTGCACATAGGCAGCAGAGGGAGAGAGCCGGGCAGCTGCATTTGGGAGGAGGCCTGGCCTTAACTGAGAAGGGGAGGTGGGATACTGAGCAGAGGTCCTTAACGGGGCGGAGGTGGAGGGCGAGGTAGCTGCAGTAGAAAAGGAGGCGGAGGCGGAGAGGAGGCCAGGGCTTGACTGGCATGGGGCGGTGAGATGCTGAGCGGAAGGGTTCAGACAGGCGGAGGAAGGAGAGATCGTGGCGGCAGCAGTTGAGAGGAAAGCTGAGGCGGAGAGAATGACAGGGCTTGACTGATTGGCGGCAGTGAGGTGCTGAGCGGAAGGGTTCAGACAGGCGGATGAAGGAGAGATCGTGGCGGCAGCAGTTGAGAGGAAGGCTGAGGCGGAGGGAACGACAGGGCTTGACTGATTGGCGGCGGTGAGTTGCTGAACGGAAGGGTTCAGACTGACGGAGGAAGGAGAGATCGTGGCGGCAGCAGTTGAGAGGAAAGCTGAGGCAGAGGGAATGATAGGGCTTGACTGATTGGCGGCGGTGAGATGCTGAGCAGAATGTTTCAGACAGGCGGATGAAGGAGAGATCGTGGCGGCAGCAGTTGAGAGGAAAGCTGAGGCGGAGGGAATGACAGGGCTTGACTGATTGGCGGCGGTGAGATGCTGAGCGGCATTGTTGACATAGGCGGCGGAGGGAGAGAGAGTGCCGGCTGCAGGAGAGAGAGTGCCGACTGCAGGAGAGAGAGTGCCGGCCGCAGGAGAGAGAGTGCCGGCTGCAGGAGAGAGAGTGCCGGCTGCAGGAGAGAGAGTGCCGGCTGCAGGAGAGAGAGTGCCGGCTGTAGGAGAGAGAGTGCCGGCTGCAGGAGAGAGAGTGCCGGCTGCAGGAGAGAGAGTGCCAGCTGCAGGAGAGAGAGTGCCAGCTGCAGGAGAGAGAGTGCCGGCTGCAGGAGAGAGAGTGCCGACTGCAGGAGAGAGAGTGCTGGCTGCAGGAGCGAGAGTGCTGGCTGCAGCAGAACAGGAGGTGGAGGTGGAGAGGAGGCCAGGGCTTGACTGGAATGGGGCGGTGAGATGCTGAGCGGAAGGGTTCAGACAGGCGGAGGAAGGAGAGATCGTGGCGGCAGCAGTTGAGAGGAAAGCTGAGGCTGAGGGAACGAAAGGGCTTGACTGATTGGCGGCGGTGAGATGCTGAGCGGAAGGGTTCAGACAGACGGAGGAAGGAGAGATCGTGGCGGCAGCAGTTGAGAGGAAAGCTGAGGCGGAGGGAACGACAGGGCTTGACTGATTGGCGGCGGTGAGATGCTGAGCGGAAGGGTTCAGACAGGCGGATGAAGGAGAGATCGTGGCGGCAGCAGTTGAGAGGAAAGCTGAGGCGGAGGGAATGACAGGGCTTGACTGATTGGCGGCGGTGAGATGCTGAGCGGAAGGGTTCAGACAGACGGAGGAAGGAGAGATCGTGGCGGCAGCAGTTGAGAGGAAAGCTGAGGCGGAGGGAACGACAGGGCTTGACTGATTGGCGGCGGAAGGGTTCAGACAGGCGGAGGAAGGAGAGATCGTGGCGGCAGCAGTTGAGAGGAAAGCTGAGGCGGAGGGAACGACAGGGCTTGACTGATTGGCGGCGGTGAGATGCTGAGCGGAAGGGTTCAGACAGGCGGATGAAGGAGAGATCGTGGTGGCAGCAGTTGAGAGGAAAGCTGAGGCGGAGGGAATGACAGGGCTTGACTGATTGGCAGCGGTGAGATGCTGAGCGGCATTGTTGACATAGGTGGCGGAGGGAGAGAGAGTGCCGGCTGCAAGAGAGAGAGTGCCGGCTGCATCTGAAATGGAGGCGTCAGGTGCATGTTGTCCATTGCCTTGAGTGTCTTTGTATGCTCCAAAACCGCCATTAGCAAGCGATGCCACGCGGCCTTTCTTGTCCTTGCGCACAGCTGTAGAGCGTTTCCCCTTCCGCCCTTCTGTAGTTTTCCTCGGACGGTTCTAGCGCTTAGAACCACAAGTGAACGACACATTGTTCAGCGACGCGAATTTCGAGCTTGTGGAACAGGGTTATGCAACAAGCAGAAATAGAAATAAGTACATTTGTAGAGTAAATGGTTTGACCCGACAGTGCGCTTGTCATTTGTTCGTAAGAATGGCTACGAGGCGTGTGACGTACCTTCAGCAAACACGTCGTCCTCCGACTCGCCTTGTGCTACCCCATTGCTGTGCATTGCGATGGCTTCCGGAGAGCCAATGGTTCCACAGCCGGGTTTGAGGTAGCTTCAGCGGCTCTTCTAGGAAGAACTGCAGCTACGAAGGGACTTGGCACGGGCTGCATTGAGTAACTTCTGAGTTGACAGAGAATCGGTTTATTGGCCGTAGGGATAGCTGGCTAATATGAACTAATCTAATATGCCATTATCTCACCTAAAGTACCAGATGAATAGCTTAGAAACTCGGTCGAGTAGGAAGCACGGTTGGGAGGCTACTAATTTCAAATCGTGGTTAGAAAAGAAGGAATGGCGAAACTACCAGAAAGTGAAAGGTGATTGTTGATGGGAGAAACAGAACGGGCGGGGGGGTGGGATGGGATGGGATGGTCGCGCCAGTTGCGTAGCACCGTTCAAAGCTGCAGACTTTATCTCACGGTCGACGTTTGGGGCGTTTTGACAGCACAGCTTAGGGAACATTCCTGCCTTGACACTTGTGTCTCAATCCCTATTTTCCCGAGTCGCGCCTGTAAATTTGCCCATCTACGCGTCACAAATAAAGGATGTACCGCAACATCGTGCGACCCAGAGTGTTGTACACTTGGCGTCATTCCATTGGGTACACCCCATTTGATTCGAGCGCACTCATTTTGGCGCCGAGCAGGCAGGTTATACCAAGGTGTGGAGTCATCCTAAGAGCAGGTTGGAGAGGTGGCTCTAGATCTGTGGTGGTTTTGTCGGGCAGCGTTGCGTGTAACACGTGCAAGGAAACCCCTTTCGAGGCTGCCCAGGTTTGGCGGGTTTGTTCCCGCGCTAAACTGTCAAGTCGTCCAGCGTCCAGGTGCATGCGGCCTGGCACTGAATTTGCTTGACATTGGTCGTTGCGTGCGATTTCAGGGAGGTGACGGGGCCTCGTCCAACTCGTCCGCGACACCAGCGCAAATGACGCTGACCAGTGTAAAATAGGGTTACATTCGCATTAAGGCGACACGCGTTTGTGACATTGCACGTTTTATGTAGTTTTTGAGCGTCACAATACATTTGAGACACAAGTGTCAAGGCAGGAATGTTCCCTTAGTGTCGGATCGAAGTGTACGCGAAGACCCTAAGGGCGCGCCCCCATGGTTTATTTGGGTGCGGCTCAATTCAATTGTTCACGTTTAGCAGCGGTAACAAAATTCTTTTGCCAGGTCGAGATGGGTACTGAGCGCTAACTAGATGTGAATGACGCGCTCCATTACAAGGATGAAGTGTGAGATCTAGTAGTGAGTTGCAAATTATATGCAGCATACATTATTGGAACAAAGTTGTACTATCGTATACTGTTGCTGGGATCTGTGCAAGGACATGTCTGCACGCGACATCTCACCGTTTCAACGCTGGGTTGTATTTTTTTAGCAATATATCTTAACACATTCGAGTAGCACATCTGATTCCCTTGCCATAGGGATTTGTTTGATCTCGTTTGCCCAACCATGCAACACGTTACGTCTGTTTGTGTGTGCGGTGCGCTGGATCTGTGCAAGGATATGCCTGCACGCGACATGTCACCGTTTCAACGTTGGGTTGTTTTTTTTAGCACTATTTCCTTTCACATTCCAGTAGCACATCCTATTTCATTGCCATACGGACTTGTTTTAGCTCGTTCGCCCAACCGCGCAGCACTGTCCGCCTGTTTGTGCGTGAGGTGCACTGGATCTGTGCAAGGACATGCCTGCACGTGACATGTCACCGTTTCAACGTTGGGTTGTCTTTTTTTAGCACTATTTCTTAACAAATGCCAGTAGCACATCCGATTCCCTTGCCATAGGGATTTGTTTGATCTCGTTTGCCCAACCATGCAACACGTTACGTCTGTTTGTGCGTGCGGTGCCCTGGATCGGTGCAAGGACATGCCTGCATACGACATGTCACCGTTTCAACGTTGGGTTGTCTTTTATAGCACTATTTCATTTCACATTCCTCTAGCACATCCTATTTCCTTGCCATAAGTACTTGTTTGAGCTCGTTCCCCCAACCACGCAACACGTTACGTCTGTTTGTGCGTGCGGTGCCCTGGATGTGTGCAAGGATATGCCTGCACGTGACATGTCACCGTTTCAACGTTGGGTTGTCTTGTTTAGCACTATTTCTTCGCACATTCCGGTAGCACATCTTATTCTCTTCCGCGTGCGACTCGTCTGTGCACGTTCGCCCTACCACGCAACACGTCACGTCTGTTTGTGCGTGCGGTGCGCTGGAACTGTGCAATGACATGCCTGCACGCGACATATCACCGTTTCGACGTTGGGTTGTCTTTTTTAGCGCTATTTCTTCACACATTTCGGTAGCACATCCTATTCCCTTGCCATAGGGACTTGTTTGAGGTTGTTCGCCCATCTGCGCAGCATGTTACGCCTTTTTGTACGTGCGTTGCGCTGGATCTGTGCATGGACATGCCTGCACGCGACATGTCACCGTTTCAACGTTGGATTGTCCTTTTTAGCACTATTTATTCACACATTCCGGTAGCACATCCTATTTCCTTGCCATAGGGACTTTTTTGAGCTCGTTCGCCCTACCCTAAACCCACATTACGTCTGTTTGTGTGTGCGGTGCGCTGGCTTTGTGAAAGGACATGCCTGCACGCGACATCTCACCGTTTCCATGTTGGGTTGTACTTTTTAGCACTATTTCTTCGCACATTCCGGTAGCACATCTAATTCCCTTGCCATAGGGACTTGTTTGAGATCGTTCGCCCAACCATGCAACACGTTATGTCTGTTTGTGCGTGCGATGCCCTGGATCTGTGCAAGGACATGCCTGCACGCGACATGTCATCGTTTCAACGTTGGGCTGTACTTATTCTCACAATTTCTTCACGTATTCCTGTAGCACATCTTACTCCCTTGCCATAGGGACTTGTTTGATGTTGTTCGCCCATCCGGGCAGCATGTTACGCCTGTTTGTACGTGCGGTGCGCTGGATCCATGCATGGACATGCCTGCACGCGACATGTCATCGTTTCAACATTGGGTTGTCCTTTTTAGCACTATTTCTTCACACATTCCGGTAGCACATCCTATTCCTTTGCCATAGGGGCTTTTTTGAGCTCGTTCGCCCTACCACGCAACCCGTTACGTCTGTTTGTGTGTGCGGTGTGCTGGATTTGTGAAAGGACATGCCTGCACGCGACATGCCACCGTTTCAATGTTGGGTTGTACTTTTTAGCACTCTTTCTTCGCACATTCCGGTAGCACATCTGATTCCCTTGCCATAGGGAGTTTTTTGAGATCGTTCGCCCAACCACGCAACACGTTATGTCTATTTGTGAGTGCGGTGCTCTGGATACATGCAAGGACATGCCTGCACGCGACATGTCACCGTTTCAACATTGGACTGTACTTTATAGCACTATTTCTTCACATATTCCTGTAGCACATCTTACTCCTTGCCATAGGGACTTGTTTGAGCTCGTTCGCCCTACCACACAACACGTTACGTCTGTTTGTGCGTGCGGTGCGCTGGATCTGTGCAAGGACATGCCTGCACGCGACATGTTCCCCCTTCAACGTTGGATTGTCTACTTAGGACTATATCTTCACACATTCCGGTAGCACATCTTATTCCCTTCCGCGTGCGACTTGTCTGTGCACGTTCGCCCTACCACGCAACACGTTTTGTCTAGGGTTTAGGCGTGCGGTGCCCTGGATCAGTGCAAGGACATGCCTGCACGCATGTCACCGTTTCAACGTTGGGCTGTCTTTTTTAGCACTATTTCTTCACACATTCATGTGGCACATCTTATTCCCTTGCCATGGGGACTTGTTTGAGCTCGTTCGCCCAACCACGCAACGCGTTACGTGTGTTTGTGCGTGCGGTGCCCTGGATCTGTGCAATGGCATGCCTGCACGCGACATGCCACCGTTTCAACGTTGGGTTGTCTTTTTTAGCACTATTTCTTTGCACATTCAGGTATCGTATCCTATTCCCTTGCCAAAAGGACCTTTTTGAGCTAGTTTGCCCTACCACGCAACACGCTACTTCTGTTTGTACGTGCGGTGCGCTGGATCTGTGCAAGGACATGCCTACATGCGACATGTCACCGTTGCAACATTGTGTTGTCTTTTTTAGCACTATTTCCTTTCACATTGCGGTACCACATCCTATTCCCTTGCCATAGGGGCTTTTTTGAGGTCGTTCGCCCAACCGCGCAGCATGTTACGCTTGTTTGTGTGTGCGGTGCGCTGGATCTCTGCAAGGATATGCCTGCACGCGACATGTCGTGGTTTCATCGTTGGGCTGTCTGTTTTTGCACTATTTCTTCACGTATTCCTGTACCACATCTTATTCCCTTGCCATAGGGACTTGTTTGAGCTCGTTCGCCCTACCTCGCAACACGCTACGTCTGTTTGTGTGAATTCAACGGTGCGCTGGATTTGTGAAAGGACATGTCTGCACGCGACATGTCACCGTTTCAACGTTGGGTTGTCTTTTTTAGCACTATTTCTTCACAGATTCCGGTAGCACATCCTTGTGATATGGACTTTTTTGAGCTCGTTCGCCCTACCACGCAACACGTTACTTCTGTTTGTGCGTGTGGTGCCCTGGAACTGTGCAACGACATGCCTCAATCTGACATGTCACCGTTTCAGCGTTGGGTTGTCGTTTTTAGCACTATTTCCCTTCACAGACTAGTAGCACGTCCACATTTGTGTATACACAGCTATGGTTTTGCTTGTAACCTTGAACAGGTGTATAGATTCATGGGGGCCAGTTTTGAGCATGTACACCATTGGCCCTAGAGAGTGCAACGTTGTCTTTCGTAGGCAGCAACAACAGTATCATGAGTGGTCATAGCATGCATGCTTCTGATTGGAAGTGAACAATTGGGCTGGAGGATGGCTTGGAAGTGCAACTTGTGGCCACAAGATTCATCCTTGCTGGAATGCATGCATGACGTTTGTTGAGTCTTGGCAGTGATGTGTTGGACATGTTGGGCCCCCCAATTGGGCCATGTGGACATCAATTGCTGCCAGCTTTACCCCTGATATATATGCCTACCAGCCTGTCAAAAATGTTTGTCCTTCACCTTGTCCTAGGCGTGATCTCACAAGCAGCCTTTGAGTGATGTATGTTGAATACAACGGCTTGAACATTCTTCTTTCTTAGGCTGTGTGTGTCACGTAGTGATCCAAATCCAAATCCACATGCTGTGAACAGGTGTCGCATGTGTGGGTCCTAACGAGACCAAACCACAAGGCACGCCAGGGGGTGATCGGTGTGCAGATTCTTTTCTCCTCCTAGGCATTGTCTGATCCATCCCTCCCTTGCTTTGCATTGTTTTGCGTCACAGCAAGCTTCATGGTCCCTGGTTTGGTAGAGCTCTGATGGTTCATTCATGTCAGATCTCTCTGATCAACCTAATACTGCCTTGAATCTACATGAGCAAGTATTGTCCCGGCCGAATTCGTGCTTCACGTTCGTTTCAGAGCAACAAGCGACTCTGATCAGTAGTAGCGAGTGCTTGATTCACGCTAGGCGGGTAGGAAGAGAGGCGCAGTGCTCTTTTGATTGGCAAAACTGGAAGTTTTTGGCAGATCCAAGCGCCTCTCCGCCCGGGACTCGAGACGCCGCACTGGTCCGGACATCGAAAGCACGATCTGATAGGGCGGGCTTAGGCACAGCAGCACAGTGCAACGTGGCGCTCCC